AGCTTGCAGAGGAGACTCGTGCAGAAGTGGGGCAGGAGGATCACGACAGCTTTTAGGCTCGGGCAGCACACTGGCTAGGTCTGCTCAGACAGCAGGATGACTCAGGCACGGGCCCAAAGCAGCTACCCTGCAACTTCCCAGGACAACGGAGAGGGTAAGAGAAGAGAGGAGCCAAGTGCCAGAGAAAGGACTTATGGATAACAGTGTCCTTTGTTCAGTCTACGGTCAGGTGAGTCGTTGCCCATAACCCTTACCTGAGCCTAAACATTTCCAGTATATGTTGGAGCAGAGCAGGAGCTGCTCAAACCAACACTCTGAGTGAGAAATTGCCAACCATTTGAGAATAGGTGGCGGAATGCAACTGGGAACTGGATAAGCTCTCACTGACCTGCAGCAGAGTGAGAGGAAGAGGAGTTGTGCTCCCTCCCAGGGCAGGATGCTCCCAGCACACAGTGGGCCAGAAACGACGAGTGGTGGAACAAGCCAAATGCTGAGCATCAGCATCATCTGAGGAGTGGTTGTGGGAGATGACCTGAGCTCTTGGCAAAGGAATCCAACACGGCCAATCTCCAGAAAAGCAGCAGCAACATCCCTTAAGGTAGTGGGCTTTTCAAAATGCCAGTGTTATTTTTCAGAGTGAAACAGATTAATGATGTTTAGAATTAGGTCACTGACTGCCTCGGGAACTGTACCTTAACCTTTGATAACCCTCATTCTGGGAAGTAAGTGTCAATTAGGGCTTATTTAAAGGTGGCTGACCTTTTTAACCTGCACTGCTGTGTGGGAGATGCTCTTGATCTACGGAGAACCTAGGGAAATGTGCTTTGTTCACCCAGAGAAAAAGATTGCAGAGAAATTATCCCTTTGGTTTTCTAAGACTCATGTGCCAGCGAAAGGCTGAACCCAAAGCTGGCCAAGCTCTGCTAAGCCACTAGAAAAATCAGTAATCGGCATCTCCAACAGACGATCCCTAGAATCCAGTCAGTGTGTGAAACAAAACCAGCCCCTTGTGTTCTCCAGCAGTTTTATGCATTCATTAGACTCATTGTTTCCAGTGGGCATTTAAGCATTCATTTCTGTTACTGCTTTCAGTAGAATCTGGGCATCTGAAACACCATTTGGGATCAAGTAAGCAGTTTAAAGACCTAAATTTAGGGGAGGACAGCTGAACATTTCGCTGAAGACTGCTACACAACCATGAACTGGAGAGAAATTTTACTGCAGGCATGACTTCAGGCTGTGTGAAGAGGAAAGCTTTGAAATGGTCTTGTTAATCCCCAACTTCCACAAGTAAATCAGGTTCCAGCAGGTAGGGGCTTTGACAGATGTTCTCAGGAGAGCCTCAACAGAGGGGAATCTACATCTTGGCTGCTCCAGTGTATCACAGCTTGAACTCCCAGTGAAGGTGGATTTGAACTGGGAGCTAAGCACATGGATACATGTTGTACTCTGCCATCCCTGTTGTACATAACAACTTCCCCAGGAAGAGCAGAGAGACATTTGGGGACAATAGGGTCTTCAGCTGGCACCATGAGTTGAGACGAAGGAATTGCATTGAAACCCGAAGAGTTCAGGTCTGATGATCTCTGCATTAAGCCTTGTATCAGAGCAGTGCAGCTCATCAGTGGAGGATGATGTCTCCTCAGAGCTTTTGTCTGCCTGAAGAGGACCGCAGCAGGGATGCTCTGGCAGACCCCATGAAACCCCTTCGCTTCCTCGGTGTTTTTTGTGGTGCACAGAAAACAAGATGTTGGTGTGATTCTCTCTGATGGCCCATGGCGCCGATCCATTCTGACTGTGGGGAAAATCAGAGGTTGATCATCGCTTTCCCCTGGAAAAGCTGCTGGGGTGGTTGACACTGAACAGCAAGGCCCTCTGTCCCCTCTTGCCAGGAGCAAGACAGTAAGTCCAAGCAAACAGTGAGGAGCAGAGGCTGATTCAAAGCTGGATATGGTGAGTGGTCAGTGAGTGTAAGACTAGATAAGGAGTGAAAGAAAACAGTCCTTTTTGATGCACAGGTCCTTTGTAATTTCATATAGAGGAAGAGTAAAAAGATACATGAAGGCTGCCTAAAGAGAAACCTGGAGCTAAGCTGTCCACAAGGTACATAGAGGTAGAGATTTTGAAAGTAGAGATGCTTTTACACCCTTCCCCAAGGTGTATGAGTGAACAGTGTACTCTGAGAAAGCAGCTGAGGTCTTTCTGTTTGGTGATGGGCTCAGACAGGGAGGAGGATGTTGGGATTCGCAGGCAGAGTGGGTCTGTCACATACTTTACCTTTTCCTTTTGAAGTAACTTGGGGGTCACCTTTCTCTTGTGACTGACAGATGAAAGTAGAAGAGAAGGAAAAAATCTGAGAAATAGCTGAGAATTCTGGTTGCTACAGGAAGAACAGAGATCGTGGTGTCCATAGAGCCGCTTTGCAGGGTCAGGTTCTCAGCTGGGCTAAGACACCACCACTCCTCCAGCTGTCACAGTTAACCAAAGGTCTATTTTGTGATGTAAATCAAAAAGTTTTAAATTATCTTTCAGGAAACTGGGGTTTATGTTTGTTATATTCACGTATATGCCTGTACGCATTTATTCACTATGTATGTGTCTGCACGCAAACACACGCACATTTCTGTTATTTATGTATAGATATTTTTATTTTCAAATAGATAAAATGGGCATAATCCCCAGCTGGAAAAAAAACAGTGCAGACCTCTGAACTGTCAGGGTGAGACATCTTTAGACCAGCTGAGAAAACATCCCATTTCATGTCCTTTCATTTAATTTTTTTTCATTTTGTTTCATTTCATTTCATTTCCTATTAAATCTTAGTTAAGGAAACCTAAAAGAACAAACAGATTATGTTGTAAAGCTGATGCACTCAGGATTTAAGGTACTCTGTTCAAATTGATGGCTGAGATCCACATCCCATGTTCGTTTATTAGCTAAAAAGCCATTCAATCATGTAAGTATTTCTTGGAGCAAGATACCTTGCTATTTTGGAATTTGTACATCTTCTCACATGAGGGCTAGTTTGAGTTTCTTTGCATGTGGCTCATGCAGACCTAAAATAGCAATTATGAGAGTATTTAGTTCTCTGTTTTGTAGCATTAGATTGAGGAGCCTATGCTGCTGTGATCTACAGAACCAAACATGGAAAGACCGACTTAAAATCCCCCCTGGGTGCAAATATCCATTAGTTTTGATATAAGAAATGACCCCAAGCTAGAAGTGATTCCATATTACGTGAATGTCCATCTCCCAGTTTTACAGGACTGTAGGGTCAACACTTCAAATATTTTATACTGTTGTCTGTGGAGCTTCAGTCTTCTAAATATGACACTGCCATCACTTAGTGAATACTCTCCCCACAACACAGGGAGTTACCCTGCCTTTAGCAGGAGAGATCGCTACTCAGATGGTTTTTTTCCCATTCTGCAGTTTCACAGTCTGTAGCAGACTTAATATTTAAAATCCTGCTTGTCAATTCAACACCCAATCTGGAAAAAAATGTGCTAATATGCCTTCCCAAAGCCAGAGCAAGATTGCAAAGACAAAAGCCTTCCTGGCTCTGAAGGTCTCTCACAGTGGAAAGATAGAAGTAGAAGAAGGGAGATCCTCAGCCCAAATCCAGGCTGGTGGCAACAGGAATGCTCATCTTGGTTCCCAAGCAGAGGAGTCAGCCATCAGGTTTAGTCAATTCCTCTGCCTGTTTCTAGGAGATAATTCTGCAGTACTGTGCAGAATAATGCATCTTATTTATATCTTAGTTCTTATAATTCTTAGTGAAAATGTTTATGCGTTAAATGAACTTTTTGTACCTGCAGCTTTTGCTCTGTCTTCTGAGGCACATCCTGTGTCCATTGCCTAATTACCATCAAAAGGCATCCTTAGAGCACACCAAAGCGGAAAACATTCCCTCCCCAAGATAATAATAAGGGCTAAAGGGAGTAAGATGTTATCTCAGGGCTGACCTATGGGGAACATTTGCTTTAGCTGCAAGGACTGACAGAAAACAGCTTCTGAGGCTGGGATAAATCATGCTAGATATACAGAGAACAAAATGTCATACCACTAGCATGAAGAGATCCTCGTGAATTAGGGTTGGCCAAAGTGTTCAAAAAGACTTCCTTCCTTTGCAGAGCATCCCCCAGCTGGGTGGTAATAGGGAGCTGGGGGAAAAAGCCCTCAGTGGTTTTAATTTTCGCTTTTTAGCTCTCTCATGTCAACGTTCACTTATTGATACATGCAAAATATGAATTGTAATGTCAGTCTTCTATCCATTAGGGGTTAAACAGCGTAAGAGTCATTATGAAGTGATCACATTGGGCATTTCTAATTCAGCACACTTTCCATGTAACAGCTGACCTCCTCACAGACCTGAAGCAAAACTGAGCACGCTGAAATGATCTGAATCCATTCACCCCATATGTTCATACCTTAATCCCCTTAATACCCTTAATCCAGACTGAGCTCTAGGCGAGCAGAGTGCCTGAGCTGGCTGGTCTAAAGCCAACCTGATCTGTCATCCTTTGCTTGCACTGTTGCCCCATCCATCTCCCTCTGCTCTGCATGTCTGCGTAGTATTGTTGCTTCTCCGGAAGTGCAGTGTTATTGTTGGTGCCGGGTACATGGTGGTGGAAATTGCAGGGATCCTTTCCACGCTGGGCTCCAAGTCCTCCCTGTTGAGGGACAGCTAAAGGCCCTGAGGATCTTTGACTCAATGATCAGCTCGAACTGCCCCAGGAGCTGGAGAACACCGGGGTGGATGTGTGGAAGCACATGCAGGTATGGGCTTGCAGAGCAGCCCTGTGGCTTGTTCCATACCTCCTGGAGAGGCAGGACTGGGGTGAAAGCTGGTGTTTCAAGCGCTGCTTGCCAGGCCACAGCTTTGGCAGCATCCCTGGCCCTGCAGTGTGGCTGCTGTTGCCTGTTGCAAGCACCGCAAGTGTTGCGCTGCTCACAGTGGGGACCAGCCACCAGATGGTCTGTCACACTACCGGTGACTGATGGGCAAGGGTCTCCAGGGGTCCCATGGGTCTCCAAGGATCCCGGGGATCTCCAGAGCCTGCCATGGGATGGTGTTCCCGCCATGCCCTCACAGGTGGGAACATGGCAGCTGCTGCTGCGGCCAGCACACGCCCACCTGGGCATCACTGGCGGCGTGTCTCGGCCAGGGCGGGTGCCAAGGTGGCTGCCATTTCCCATGGCAGGGTGTGCAGGTGGATGCCAGGGGCCATGCGGTAGTGAATGAGTACCAGAACACTACCAGGAGAGGGGTCTATGCCATTGAGGACATCTGTGGGAGAGCCCTCCCCACCCCATGTACCACAGCTGTGCCCCCTCTCCGCAGCCCCTCATCCGCATGCTGTGCCATGCGTGGCTCAGGATCCCTGTCCCTCCCCACAGTGGCAATCGTGGCGGGCAGAAATCTGGCGCACAGGCTCTTCAAGGGCAAGCAGGACTCCCAGCGGGACTACTGTGATACCCCCACCATCATCTTCAGCCACCCGCCCATCGGCACCATGGGCCTCACCAAATGTGGGGGCAAGCAGGATGCGGGGGGCAGCAGGACAGGCGAAGAGGCTCAGGACATGGCGGCTCAGAGCCACTGGTTTAATGCTTGAGGAAGCGACCCAATCTCTGGCAAGCAGTCTGAGCCTTGCAAAATGTGCTTTAACTCTCTCTTTTACAGTACATCCCCTGCCTGCCGTGTCGTGTCTTCTGCTGCAGGTGAAGCTGTGGCCATGCACAGGAGGGAGAACGTGAAGATGTACAGCACATCCTTCACCCCCTCGTACCATGCCATCGCCCAGGGGAAGTTTAAGTGTGTCATTTAGCTGGTGTATGCTGGTGAGGAGGAGAAGGTGCACGGAGGGGACCAGGGGGACAACAGGGCTCTGCAGGGGGTGGCTTGGCTCCCCCCTGCCATGGCAGCCATCCTCTTGTCCCCACATGGTCTGCTCTGACCTGCTCAGACCAGGTCTTGGGCTGGGATCCAGCTCCCCAGCACCAAGCACACTGTTTAGCCTGGATTTCGCTGGTGCTGGGTCCCATCCAGGATCTCACTTCTTCCCCAAAGGTGGTGGAATTGCACATGCAAGGGCTGGGCTGCGACGAGATGCTGTGGGGCTTTGCCATGGCCTTCAAAATGGGGGCCACCAAGGCCAACTTGAACAACACTGTTGCCATTCTCCCCACTTCTGCCGAAGAGACGTGGTGATGCTGCGCTGAGGTGGTGGGTGCGAGGAGCCCGTGGGACGGCAGGTGAAGAGAGGTGGTGGTGTGGTCCCTTGGTGCCATTTGGGGGAAGGCTGCCAGTGGCGGGGCTCTTCCTCTGCTGTCCCCGGCACCAGGGGTGTGCAGGGAGCAGCAGAGGGGGGCAGGACGGCTGGGTGCTTGGGGTACTCAGGGGTACCACATCCTGGGTGGGCTCTGTCCTCTTCTGTGGGCGCTCACGTTTTCCAGTTGTGTGGCTCCAGGCTTTGCTGTAGTGTCTCAATGCTGGCTGGCAAAACAGCAGCAAGCAGGAAAATCCTGCCCAGTCCTCCTAACCCCATCAGCATCAGCAGAGCCAGCCCTGGGGCACTGCTTTTGGAGAGGCAGAAGTGCCTGAGAGCTAAGCGGGGTTGATAGGACACCCCTGTGGGCAGCCAAGTGGCGGGGGGGGGCCCCTGGGGCCCGGGG